TGGACGGATGGATGGATGAAAGGAAGAATGGATGGGTGGGTGGATGGGTAGATGATTGGGTAGCTGGATAAATGGGTTGATGGATTGTGGCTGGTTGGATGGATGGATAATATGGATGGATGGATCACGGGTGGATGGAGGAATAGATGGATGGATAAATAGATTGATGGATGAATCAGTGGATCAATAGATGGATTGGATGATTGAACAAGTGGATGGTTGTGTAGGTTGGTGAATAGATAGGTGGGTGAATGGATGGATGGATGAACTGATGGATCAGTGAGTGGATGAGCAAATGGGTGACAGGTCAAAAGATGAAAGAGTGGGTGGATGGGAGACTGGAATCGGGGCATTTAATCAGGCACGTCAGGCGGAAGTGAGTTGTTTGGAGCCCGTGAAGGGGATTGCTGTATTTGCCACAGTCCCCACCGTGCCCTTTGTCCCCCCATGCCAAAGATGAGCCCCAGCTGCCCTCACAGCACCACATGTGCGCAGTGTCACTGTCACCCTGGCCCACATCACACATTCAGGTTCTCTCAGGGCCCCCAGCCCCTCCTCAGAGCCCCTTGATTTTTGTCATCCAAAGACACTGAAGTTCCAGGAACTGGGTGAAGGGAGGGGAAGGAGAGGACTCTGAAAAGGCAGGGTCCTTGTGGAACAGCACTGGTCAGATGCTCACCCCGAGACTTGCCCCGACCCTGCATGGAGTAGGCAGGGGTGCAGCTTCGGCCAAAGCGGGTGACTTTTGGGTCCAGGAAGTAGACAGGCCCAGGGCTGGTGTCCTGTGGAGATGCTGCGGGGAGGAGCCCAGAGTCCTAAGGGCACCTCGACCCCGCTCAGTGCCCCTGGTCCACCCCAAGGCACTCCCACCCTCCAGGCAGCCCCCAGCCCCACCTTGGGCCGCTGAGGCAGGGTTGCCCTGACCTGGGGGCCTTGGGTTTCTGCCTCAACTTTGTCCTGATGAGCGTTTCTGTGCCCCTGTGATCACGACTGTCCCACCCCTCAGAACAGGGAAGCAGCTGGTGGGTTGGTTAGAATTGCACGTACAGCAAGACTAGACCCTGAGGAGGGGCTCTTTGCATGCTTGGGCTCGTCCCTGGGTGGGACCCCGTGGGTCTCAGCACGGCCCCCTGTGAGCTGCATCTCTGCCTCGGTCTCCTTAGTGGCGGGGTGAGATGGAATGGCGGGAGGGTCCGTGGAGGGCAGCCCAGTGCGGGGCACCTCACTGCTGGGACTGATGTCACCGCCACTGCTGAGCCGTAAATGCATGTGCCTCTGCGTGTGTCGTGGCTGCGACACGGATTCACCGGGCGGCACAACACGCGAGCTGGCTCATGAGCACGTCCCAGCTCCAGGTCTGTGCGTCTGCTGCCAGCCCTACCGAGTCCCTTTCTCCTGGGGGCGCTACTGAACCCCTCATCCTGCAAAGCCCAGACCACATGCCTCCCCCTCCAAGAAGTCTTCCCTAGGGAACCAGCAAAGTCTACCCTGGCCCCCACCCACCCCCAACTCCCCGGCCTGTCTCTCCCTCTGTCCCAGGATGTCCTGGGAGAACCCAGGCCGCTCTGGGCCAGAAGCAAAGTTCTTAACCCTTCCTTGGAGCTTCTGGAGTTTTGTTTCAGGTTGGGTTGGGATTTTTGCTGATTCTAAAGGCTGAGAAGAAGTTGCTGCCCTGCATGTTCGTCAGCCACCCCCACCCCAAACCTTCATCCCTGTGAATCAAAGTCCTTGTGTGGGACCCTCCCCAACCAGTGCGCACCAGGACCTCAGCTCTAGAAAACGGGGTGATGGAGTCTGTGGGCATTCATATGAAGGGCAGAGTGTTGCTAGAACGTGGACTCCACTAATAGGAATGGGCAGTGAGCTGGGGCCATGGCCACCCACGTTAGCGGCACTGATGGTGCTGACCCTTGCACACATCCTGATGCAGCCCTTCTGGCCAGGGGCAAGGTGGGCGACGTGGAAGCAAGGACCCCGCTGGCCGGGCCAGCCCCGCTGCCCACTGGCTGTCCGCACCACCCTGCCCTCTCTACAGCTGTCTGTGAGGAGCCCCGTCCTGCTGATGGAGACATTGAGGCTAGGACCCCTTTCCACTGCGCTGTCCAGGCACCAGGCACTGATCCTGGCTCACGGACGTCTGCAGGCACCGGTTGGTTTCATGTGAGGACAGCTCTGTAAGGGGCACCCTGTCACTGTTCGTGGGGGAGGGCACTGGGGCACAGATCTGCTGAGCAGCCTGTCCAAAGTCAGGCAGCCAGGAAGCTGCGAGACCCGGGAGACAGGCTCAGGGCTCCGCAGCACGCTGCGTTCTGCCTTCCCTTCTCATCGGAGGACACAGAAGACACAGCGCTTCCTCAGGGTCACCCCGCAAGCCGGAGGTGGGGCCTCGGGGTCTAGGGGAGATGGGAGGCTCAGAGGGCCCCTCCCCCACCCATCCAGCCCCACCAGCACGGGCACCGGTCTTACCGATCTTACTGGGGCGGGGCCTCCAGAAGAGGGAGTAGGCCGGACTGACCGCCCTGGTGCAGTCGTGGTTGATGTAGCCCACGGTGGACGGCAGGACATACAAGCCTGGCCCCGTGCCTGCGACCAAAGCCCTCAGGTCACAGCCTGCAGCTCCAGACGTTGACACAGGGGCGGGAACCCAGGGCCCAGCCCCTGAGCTCCCCCCTGGGCTGCCTGCCACCCTCCATGGCAGGGGTGGGGGTGGGAGCTGCCCGCCCCCCCACAGGGGGAGAGTGAGTGAGGGGCATTGTGAGTCAACCCGAGTCAAAGGTAGGAGGGGCCAGGGCCAGCAGTCTCCTCCTGCTTTAGGGCACACTGGGACAACTGAAGCCCAGACACAGAGACGCGCTGTCGCAGGTGGGGAAACCGAGGCCCA